CTAGAGATAACAGCGTTAGCAAACAACACTTAATCTTTGGTGACTGCACATTAAAATAAGTTGGCAATAGCAATATATAACCTGGAAATAGATAACCAATTAAAAAATTACAATACTACAATTGTACTATACTCGCCATTTACACATTAGTTGCGTTCCAGATGCTTCACGATATTCACGAAATTCACGATTTGCAGGAACAGCTGTTTTCTCCATTAATAATTATGGGAGGTGGTCACCTGGAACGACTTCCTGTAAAAACCTGCAAATCGTGAACCATCTGGAACGCAACTATTGTACGGCCTCGTGGTTGTTGCAGTTTGTTGAATGACATTTATTACATTCAGAAATTTTGTGATGTGCCACTGCACTGTAACTAGTGATGGCAAAGTAGGTACCTTTAGTCCCTGCTTAAGTAGAAAGTACTTTAGGTACAACATCAAATTTAAGCAGATGCAATGTTGTTGGTCTAATATAAAAATGTATACACCCATATTTTCTCTTTATGCACATATATATACGTAGGTACATTATTACGAAAAATTAAGTACCGATTGCAAAATGTGATTTTTTCATCTCTTAGTAGAGCACAGCTGTCAAGATGAGCGCCATCTACCGCAATCGTCCAACCAGCAAGGCACACCACCACACATATGTTAAATAAAGGGAAATTTTTATTTTGGTGGCAGGTCATGGTGTTAATTATCATATACACACCAATTACTCTTAGGACCAGTCTCAAATGAACATTTAATTCACAACTTGGGTTGAGTTTCAGAGCGATATTTAAATGACCAATATCAGCCATGTAGGGGCAGTTTGAATATACATATGATCTGAAAATGAAATTTTAAAGTTAATCAACAATCTTTACTTGGACGGCTCATCTGAAATTGGCCCTTAATACATAGTGTTGTTCCGATACAAGTAACTACGAGTAAATACTCGATACTTTCTTCAAGTACTAAGTACTTTAGGTACTCCAATCTTTCCCACAAGTACTTAGTTGGGTATCGAGTACGCGGTTAGAGTATTTACTTGTTTTTCCACCTATTCAGAATTTTGGTTGTGACATAAAGTGCTACAGTATTTTTGGCAACACGTTCAAACCTTAAGTTGTACCCAACCTTAACGTGCATGAAGCTAATAAAATAAGTTGGAGAATCGGACTTTGACAACGCCTTAATAATTGAAATTGCATACAGAAATGAAGAAAATGTCAAGACTGCGTTCCCGTACTAGTAAAATTTTTACGTTTTGCAAGATTTACGTCCACTCTTTCGGTAGGTTTTGGCCAAAAGTCCTCGATCAAACTAATGGCTGCTCTTTTGGTAAGTTTCGATCGGAAAGTGCTCGAACTGTTTATTTTTTTCTTCCCATGATGTAGCATTGCCGCGGCGGCAGATAACGCAACTTTCTTATTAAACTTATCAAACTTGTTTAATAAATATATTCAAATGCGTATAAATATGCACAGGCCCTTTGAATTTGCATATATAATATTTTCTGAAATTATTATATTAGTTCTACGGAACGCTGTGATGAGTTCGATACGAGTAAGTATCGAGTACTTCTGTCCGATACATTTGTAGCATCGATACTTTTCTTCGATATTTTAAAAGAGTACAGGTATCGAGGACATGACAGTATCGGAACAACTCTATTAATACTGTTACGATTATCCTCGAAACCTTGAGGGATTACCCAAATACACTCCGGCTCGTATCGCTGGATTGTTAAATAAATGCTAACGATGACCGAATTGTAGTACAATTAACTTTATTGCACAACAAACAATTTACAATACTTGCTAATACAGTAAAAACACCTTACAATACTTGTTAAAGCAATAACAACGCTTTACTACTTGTTAACACAATTAAACTTATAGCTTGCTTATTCGCAACTCAATTCTCCGCTCACTTTACTTGTAGCTTGCTGAATTGTCACTAACTCACCTCGCGGTTGCGGCGCCCTTATATACCTGCGCTGGCACTTATGGCAACTCTAGAACATTCTGAAGTTTATCGCTCATTCTCTTTCTCTCGCTGTTCGCAGGGTTCATCCAACTTGACGTTTCTCTTTGTGGAACATTCTACGTCATTCTTCGAAAATTCTGCCTATTTCTCGTTGTTCGCTTTGTGTTGCCGCAGTATTCGCCACAATACATAGCAACACTCAATCGATAACAATGGCGCATATTCATAGTCATATTTAGTATCTCAATTGGAATTTATTCAATATTATCAAAATCACCTTCTACCAACTTAGGGCCGTTTGCACCATGTCTAGTTTACGCTAACTGGAGGTACATCCTTCAGTTAAGCACATCGACTGCTTTATCGATCACATGTTATATGATGGGTGTCGATAACGTCGATAAAGATGTTTAACTGGGATTTAGAATTAACTAGACATGGTGCAAACGGCCTTTAATTTTTACATATTTCGCCTGTTTTCCCTTAATTTGATAAAGTACTTCTTTCTAGTTACGACTTAGTTGCAGCTGCAGCCGAAACTAAATTTTAAGTTGGTACTTAGCCAGAAAAGTCGAAACTAAGGCGACTATGAATAGCTTTAGTTGTGACTTAGGCCCGGTTACTCAATGTCTAGTTAACACTAATCTCCGGTTAAACATAGTTATCGACGTTACCGACTCCCTGTTATATGAATGGAGTCGAAGTCGTCGATAACGATGTTTAACCGCAGATTAGTGTTAACCATACATTGAGTAACCGGCCCTAAGTCGAAACTATTCTAAGGGCCGGTTACTCAATGTCTGGTCTGCATACAACAGATTAGTGTTAACCATACATTGAGTAACCGGCCCTAAGTCGAAACTATTCTAAGGACCGGTTACTCAATGTCTGGTCTGCATACAACAGGGAGTCGGTAACGTCGATAACGATGTTTAACCGCAGATTAGTGTTAACCAGACATTGAGTGACCGGCCCTAAGTCACAACTAAAGCTATTCGTAGTCGCCTTAGTTTCGACTTTTCTGGCTAAGTACCAACTTAAAATTTAGTTTCGGCTGCAGCTGCAACTAAGTCGTAACTAGGAAGAAGTACTTTATCAAATTAAGGGAAAACAGGCGAAATATGTAAAAATTAAGTTGGTAGAGGGTGATTTTGATAATATTGAATAATCTCCAATTAAAATTTACAAAGATCGATCCATTTTAATCGGAAGATGAAATTAAATGCGTATTACAATTCGAATAAAGCTACATCACAATTTTATAATTGGAATAATTTAGATAAATTTACAAATAATAAGTCAGTTTCACGCTAGTTCTTTTAAAGTAAATTTGTGCATAACATTTAGATATCTACTATTTGTATGTTTCACAGCATGCTTTCGATAAACATCGACTTCACATCACTGCTGTTGTTCTGGCTATTTCACACAATTAACAAGAAAATTATACCTTATTCCTTTGCATAATCATGCAATGAAAATAAAAATTACATAAACGGATGATCAAACTTGATATTATTTAATAAAAATGTAATTTTTCCAAAATATCGTAAAGAAAAATCGGTAGATTTTCACACACGTTTTGCTATATCGTAAACTAAGTCGAAACTACTTAGTAGAAGTCTGAAATGCGACAATGAATAGAGGTAAATTTTAAGTTGGTACTTAAATTTAAGTTGCAACTTTGTTAGTTTCGACTTAAAGCTGAAGCACAACACCGGCGAACGGCAAATTTTTCGTCGCGAATGTTTGCCGAGATAATTAAAACACACTGATTTATATGAGAACGCGCACAACCAAAGCAAACGACGAAGTTTGCTCGACGACTGTTCGCGACGTTAGATTTATTTCTATCGCCGCGGTCAACGGCAACTACAAAAAAAGGCCATGATGACCATACCTTAAAAATTATCGTAATTTTTGTTTAAAAGTAAAATAATATACCTTAGATTTTTCTATCAGAGATTAATCTAGTAAAACGTAAGTTTACTAATAGTTATATTTAAAGACTATTCCTATATTTTAAACTTCTTCTTGCTGATATTTTCCCTCTTCGTTGTAAAAGCTTCCTTCTTGAAACATGGTCACCTTATCAGCTGACAGCATTCGAACCGCTCGATACCGCTCCACTTGTGTTTCAGTAAGCGAATTAGCTGGGCGAAAGATGATCGTCGGCATCGCTCTGCCTGGCGAAATTTGCCGTTCGCCGGGTATTGTGTTTCAAGCATTAGTTGCTGGACTATGAATACGCGCCAATGTATCGGTTCATGAATTAAAGTACCCTGCACACTTGTATACAAATCCTTATGCAATATTATGCGGATCACACAGTATCGCTCCCATCCGCCAATCATAACATAAAATTTGTATAATTAAACAATTGAATTTAAACTTTGGATTATAGAAAATACAATAATTATAACCAAATGTCATTGTTAATGGCCACCCAAACAACCAATAATAATAATAACAAAAAATATGTATATGGATATACATAAACGAAAGACTCGGAGCGGAAACTCAGGCATTCCGCCAGATCACATCATGGGATCGGAAACTTGGGCTTTCCGACCCAAGTTAGTACAAGCAAATAGCGCAACGGGGATCGGAATCTCGGCCTTTCCGACCACGCTCAAAAAATTATAACCGCTATAATTTTTTCAAATACAGCATCACGGTAGACTGGAGACTCGGCCTCGCCAGCTACTTACTGCTTGAATTTATTATACACATATGTGCAAAGAAATGTTTAACCACGTCCTTTCGTACTAACCTTCTTTTTCCAATATCTAGGAAGCCGAATACAATTTTATATTTATTTTTTTTAGTTTATTTGTTAATGTAGGTGTGGTGGTTGAATGGCCCAACCGATGTTGCTTATAGCAAGGGGGCCGGCATGTTTAGGCCATAAGCCTAAACCAAACTTTAAAAGGATGAACCACCCTAATATATAAACGCACACACATACACATATATGTGCATGCATACGAATATGCACATACACCCTTTGCATTATATTTCCCGCCAAATACTTAATAAGGGTATTCATCAAGCCTCATAAATGCATTGTAAACCGTATAAACTTATAATTGTGTAAACCTTATAAATGAACTGTCAAAATTTGTATGGAAACTCGTTTACACATTTCTGATAAATTTATCCAGAGTTTAACTGAATAAACTTGATAAACTGAAGACAATGCAACTCTGTCGCAACTCTAGCTATGTTTTCTTAGGCAATAATCGGGATCCGCATACAAATTTTGCACGCAAATTCAACAACGATATGCTCCTGATAGAGATCTGGTTCAATTATTATCCCGTTGTTTGTTTTGTTTCACTGATAATTCGCAAAGTTTGGTAGCCGTGACAAATGAATTCATGCACAAACAGACATTCTGTCATTGTTTCTTATAACTTGCTTGAAATAAATAGCCTTTATGTTATATGTACATTTATTTAAATAGATATCTCGTAAATATAATTTTTTCCAATTTAGTGAGGTAGTTTCTATAATTTCTTTATCCCCGTGCTAGTAGTATAAAGTTAGTGGCCCTGCGCTTTATAACCAAAGAAAACACGACTATTGTCGCATGTGTAAACGAAAAGAGAAAGTGGGTCGTTCATGTAACAGAGTGCATAAACTTATAAGATTATCTGCTTGATAAAGTTATCGGTTTAGATGAATACCACTAATATAGACAAATTAGCTTAATTTCCCCTCAATACAGTTCGCTGTTTGAGGGTGCCGCTAAACCTTTTATAAAAGAGCGCGTTCATTCCTTTTTTATCACTATCAAGCACGGACGTCTTTCACCCACCACCCTTCATCTCACACAAGGTAATATTGTAAAATATTCTCCGAAAACCAAACACTTTCAATAAAAACTTAGCAACCATATTATTAATTAAAACAAAACTTGTCTTCTTTCCTTTTCACTAAATTAAAACATTGATGCCATGCTGGAATTGCGAGCCACGTATGTGTCAGTGTTCCCAAAAACTAATTTGAAAATAAAAATCCAAAACTTATCCATGTTGGGTGACCTATACACTCATATGACTGAAAAAATTATGACCAATACTGTTCCTTGGTAATGTGCCACAAATATTAATTAATAATTATTTTGTATTCTTACTAAATAACTTAAATATATACGTTTTCTATACCTGCAACGTTATTGACTTTTTATTCGATTTTGACATACAATGTTTTAAACCATGATAAGACGTAATCATAAACCTTTTACAACAAAAAAGGGAAAGTATCTCTCGAAAGAGAAGATGAAAACAATTCAAGTAAGTACTCGATACTTTGCCGATACTGAGTAGGTATCGATACTTTCAGTCTTTTGAGTACAAGTACTCATTAGAGTGATACCTTAAACTATGTTCACATTACCAACATAAAATACTTAGTTTCGATTAAAATACCTCACTAAATTAAGTGCGTTCATACACGCGATTCTTTATTTGTCTTGACAGCTTTGTAGCAACCCCGTGTTATTTTTTATTTAACCAAAAGAGATCGCGAATGTGACTAATTGCGTATATTTTTATATTCTGAGTTGTTTGAGGTAATTTTTTAGATTTTAGATGAGTGATCAAAAGAGAAAGCTTCTGGAAATATTAGCCTTTAAAAAGCAGTTAAACGCATTGCCAATATTTCAAAATGCATCCACCAGCAGAAAGTATTTGCATCTATTGCAGAAGCGGCGTTCTACTATTATTAAAAAGATGTTTTTGTTGAGGAAACAATATTTTTTGTTGTTGTCGTCTGCTCAATACCTTTCTAAGCAATCCCGATTATATTGGAGAAAAGTTAGTATGCTTGTGCACCTCTATACTAAGGTTTATTAACAATTTTTCATTTCCAAAGGAACGTTCCCAAACGTTTTGGGAAGTAGACTGTCAAGTGAATGGTGGCGTGTTCTTTAAGAGCAATTTTAAAATGAAGATAAGTACGTTCCTTGAGCTGTGTGGATATTTAAGAGTGTTGGAAAAAGAGGATACCCCTTTACGTAAGGCTATCACTTTACACAAACGGGTAGCCATTGCTTTGTATGCATTGGGATCATCGGCAGAATATCGCACCATAGGAAACACGTTTGGAGTTGGAAAGTCCGCTGTATGTGGAATAGTTAAGGAGTTTTGTATTCAGACTTGGAAGGTTTTAAGTCCAACTTTCATGCCAACTTTTCCATTGACGAGACAAAAAATTGCCGAATTAGTCCAGGGATTCGAAATTATTGGCTTTCCTCAGTGCATGGGAGCAATTGGTGGGATAAATCTACGTTTTTGTACCAATGTATGTGTCAATAACTTTTTAATTAAACCTTGCAGACGGTTGTCATATTGAGATTCATCCTCCTAGACAAGATGCCACGGACTATCATAATTACAAAGGGTGGTATTCCACCATCCTACTCGCGTTAGTTGATGCAAGGTACGACCATTTATTTTAGTTATGAGGACGATACATCATATACATACATATGAATTTTTAGATACCGATTTGTTTATATCAATGTTGGTAGTCCAGGACGGTGTAACGATTCCCAAATTTTTGAGTCACCAACGCTGAAGGCGCAATTAGAACAGTGTTCTCACCTTCACGAAATGAGTAGAACTATTTTAGATGTTGATGTGCCGGTTTTCATAGTAGGAGACTCAGCTTTTCGTTTCGCAAAATATTGATGAAGCCTTATGCATTCCAAATAATGCAAAATGAAAGGGGAAAAAGTTTTAACTATTCGCTTTCGAAAGTGCGAAGGGTTGTTGAAAATGCCTTTGGTCATCTTAAGGCCCTATTCCGACGAATAGGCAAAGGTATAGACAATAAAGTCGAAAATACGAATGCTATTATCAAAGCATGCTGTGTTCTGCACAACTTCTTAAACGAAAGAAATGACAACATTAACGATAATGGATGTCCGCTTTGCAGGATATAGAAAGGAATCGTCAATATCCACAACAAGAAATGTCTGTCAACGATCGTCAAAATAGTGCAGAAATAATTCGAAATAGTCTAGCTACCTTTTTTTGTAAGTAGAGCTAATTTTAACTGGTATTTTTTTTTAATAAATACTTTATTAATTCAGTCTTTTGTTACAAAATAATACTTCAGTATATTAAAATAATAAAACAAAAACCCAATTCAACTCATTGTAAAAACCAAAACTTAACTACAAGTAATTGTATCAACAAAAACATAGCCAATGAATTACGAACGGATCTCGGATGTTAATATTACAAAGTTTATCAGTTTTTTTTAATTTTTTAATATAAATACAGCAAACTTAATAACATAGACCTTATATCGTTGGCTTAGTGCGTAAACGTGCTAAGTCCATTATTTTTTATTTTTCAGGAGGGACAAAAAACCGTCTAACTTTTTTTGTTGTCAATATTTTTCTAATCTGTAAATGCAGTTTTATTCCTTACTTCGTCTTGTTTTAGTACCAATAATCGGCCAATTTCAAAATAAAGCTGTTGCAGACTTATAGGCCCTTTTAGGACTTACTACATTTTCTCTTTAAGATTTTATTCTTTTAATGTGGACTTAGCACATTTTCTATGAACCTCTTTTTCCATTATTTTTTATTGTTAAAAGATTTTAATTGTTTACTTTAAATATATTTTATTGTTTTAAAATGAATTATAACGTAATACAGTTTTATTTCATTGCTATTAACAAAAATAACTATTTTAAGTCGTAAATTTATGTACCATTTATAAAGGAAAATAATTAAAAGCAAGTAAAGAGGTAAAGTTTGGGCGAAACCCGGCACAGGTATCAAATACTGTCGTAAGCAGGGTCTTTTTCCCGATTTCAAACGTTTTCGATAATATCCTGAGTTAAACTCAATGAAATAATTGAACCACGTTTAGTAGAAATCGCTAAAGTGGCTACCGAAATACACCTTGTAGTCATAAATTGGGCGGTGTCACGCAGTCTTATTTATTGTTAAAAGATCTGAAATTTATCGTTAGATATACGGGAAGCGAATGTAATTTTGGTCCGATTTGAATAATTTTCAACGAATTGCTTTTCCGTACCAGGTTTATTAAGTGCACAGAGTTTGGTAGAAATTGATAAATCGGTTACCAAGTTACAAATTTGTGGTCATAAGTGGGCGGCGCCATGCCCATTATCCAAAAATGTATCATAATATAATTTTCTGCTGAGTGGTTATCGCGATCATCGATTTTAAGTGAATTAGATTTTCAAAAGATTTCTTAGCTAGACCCTAAATAAGGCTCGTACCGAGTTTGGTGAATGGGCTACTGAGATGCTGCATTTCATAATTGGTGGGCGGGGTCACGCCCATTTTCCAAAAATTGCACAATAATATTTTTTACAAAAAATCTACTTCACATACTAATTTTGAACAATTTGCATCCAATATTTACTGAAATATCGTAGTTTTTGCATCGTTAGAAAATACCTTTATATCGGAAATGGGCGTGGTTACATTCAGATTCGCCCATTTTTAATACCAACTTACCTTGGATAAAGGGCAAGCTACATACCAAATTTCGCTGAGATATCTCGAATTACACGAGTGTACACGGACAGGCGTGTATATATATTTTTTTGATTTTTTGGACTTAGCACATATGCGTACCAATGCATAACAACAAGTAAAAACGACATTACGGTAATTTTCTTTTTTGGTAATGATGTATTTTCAGTTATGCTATCTTACTGCATCAAAATCTCAATTTACATAAAAAGTGGACTTAGCACGTTTGCGAACTAAGCCAACGATATGTTAATCAAAGCTTCAAACTCTGTTCAAAATTCGTTAATTAACAGAAATCAAAAATATCAAAATCTCTAACTTTTTAATCAGAATTTCTAGATAATGCTGGGAAGTTTTTTAGCTCAAATAATTTCAGTATAAAAAAGTGCACCTTTGAATGAGCTATGCATATTCAAAATCTTTTTGGAAACTGATAAAAAGTTTGAGATTTTGACATTTTTGAATTTTGTTAATTAACGAATTTCGCACAAAGTTTTAACCTTTAATTTATATGGTCTATATTATTGAATTAACTTTGTTTTCATTGTTAAAAAATATGGTAAACTTGAAAAATAAACATCCGAGTTTCGTTCGCAATTCACTGTCCACATATTGTGTTTACTAGAACAAAAAATTAATTCATTTATATGCAAAAGCAAGAACTCACTTCAACTATTAAAAAAGTAGTATAAATATCAATACTTATTTCTTTTGTAAAAATTCAATGATTGCCTTATTTACTTGTTTGTTATCATTAACGTATTCATCTAAAATTTGAGTTCTTATCATTTCATTTTTTAAAAATGCTTTACTGGTTTCTCTTAAATCTATATCACTTTCTCTCAAATCTTTACTACATTTTTCCATTTCCTTTTCAATTTTATCTAGTTTTTCTAAAAATTTCTTTTGAAAATTTTTCTTTCCAGATGCACGGGCAGCTGCTGATGTCGACGGTGTTGGGGTTGCACAATCGGAAAGCGAAGTGGGAGAAACACCACATTCATAAAGATCGCCCGATGATGTCTCTATAGATAGTGCCACCATTTCACTATTATCTGTAATTTAAAAAGTACATACATATGTACATTATACTACATCACTCTTCATAAAAAAATCGGTACTTTTTTCCCATTGAAATTATAAAATCTATTTTATTTTAAGACTTGCCCCAAAATATTTCGAAAAAATATTAGGATTTACGTGAGCTGGACCGATTTGAGAATACCTCCAAAAAGTGTGTTTTTTGTGAATAAAAACAATATTTTTAAGTATTTTTCTGCAAAAAATCACCTCAGATAACAAAACAATTTAAGCTTAAAAAATTTGCATAGAAATATTTAAAAAAAATGATCAACGGAATCATTCTTTTCTTAAACAAATCTTTGAAAACAGTTAAAAAAAAACAGCATAAAAAATGTCATTATGATTCCCATGAAAAATTGTTTGTATATTTTTATATAAATTTTTTAAGCTTAGCATGATTTGTCATCTCAGGAGATTTTTAAAAAAAAAAAACCTTTTTGAAACAATTTTTATTTATAAAAAACTCCAGTTTGGAAGGTATTTTTAAATCGGTCCAGCTCACGTAAATCTTAACATTTTGCTGAAATGTATTATTATTATATTAGAAGATAACATTAGAAATATAATTGGCAACGCGACAAGGATTTTCTCGCGTTCCCTTTAAATAAAACCACTCGCAGTTTATATTTTAAACGTTATAAATATTTTTATTTTTAATAACTAAAATACGTATAAGAACATATGTATACAAAGCTATATTTGTTTCCGTTAAACTTCCGGTGGCCGTTTTCCCGTGTGCGCGCGGTGACTGTTGAATTTGGAATGTTTTTCTTTTCTCCACTTTCTTTTTGCAGTACCAAGAAAGTTGAAAAGCAGAGGTGTTAGGGTGCTCCTTCATTACAATCGCCCCCCTGCAAGGGCGTACTGAATAGTGCGGCCTGCAGTGTATTCTACGCCATAATATTGAGTGTGTGGCGGTTTGGCGCTACGGCTGTATGCATTTGCGTATTATATTATTTTAGAATGTGGCGCTAACATTAGGCTTCGTGTTGCTGTCGTTTCCAGTTATGGCCTTTCCTTGAGATGTCGTCCTGAAAAGGAAGAAAGCGAAC